CTGGCTCTCAGCCAGTGGCCGACTGAGCAGAGGCAGCTCTCGTCCACACTGTGGACTCTCAGTGGGCCTCTAGCGCCACCGTCAAGCTCACCTCTTAGCTGTGAAGTAAACTCATCTCCAGACACGTAACTTGTAAATACAAAATGTTTGTTTTGAACAAGCATTTTAGCGATATAAAAACATTTTCCGCCTACAATCATTCCCCAGAGGTTTGTCAGTTTCTGGTGTTTTACTGGTCCAAGCTGCAGTCTTGCTGGTTAAGAAGTAAGAACCATAATGAAGTTGGTTTGACTAGTTCTTGCTTGGTTGGGTTATTAACAAACTGTAATATAGTTAAGACATCTGTATTTGAGGGACCTCTTTTTTGCTACATATTTGTAGCTTGCTAACCCACGTTCATGCTACGGGGTGAAACATGTATTCATCTCTGTGTGGGTGAGCCGCACCTTGATTCATTTCACCTATTCAACTTTTCAAACACGTGTCATAAGGAGACATTTCTCCTTTAAATATATATAATTAATTCTGACAAGAAAAATTTTGTTTTTCACTTGATGTTCAGGGGAGGCCAGGGTGAGGTTCAAACCCCTTTGTCTTGAACCTCCAAAACCTCTGCCGCCATCATGGTTGAAACAAGCGTTTTGTAGAACGATTATGTGATTGTTTTGTATTTTGAGGACTTTTTCATGGTCTGAGATACTACTAATCAGATCATTGGGCTGTACTTTGAATTCAAATCCATTGTTGACTTATTACAGAAAATTACACTCCATTGAACTCAGTGGTGTTGTTGCGGTTCGTTTAAACTTTTTGGATACTCAGGTTTTTTTGTTTTTTTTGTTTTGTGCTTTCTAATGAAAGTCTACCTCACAAGCTCCAGCTTCTCTGATTCACTGTGGAGCGTCTCAGGAAATGGCTTTGGTCAACCACAACTTTCTTGAAAAAAAAGCAAAAAAAAGCATAAGGCTGTCCACAATCAAGACTGTTGGTAATGTACCGGAAACCCAGTGTCTCCACTCAACGTATGCATGGCGTCTATCCACATGACTCCATTTCTGGTGGACTTTTTTTTTTTTAAATATTTATTTTTTTATCTTTTTCCTAAAAAATATTCAAAAATCAACACATGAACACTGAAGATATTCATCCGCGGCACTAGACAAGTTAAACCTTTATAACTAAATATAACATTTGGTTACTAAAATTAATTGACTACGCAAATGCTGGAATTAGAAAACTAAAACTAAACTGTAAATGTGCCTTCACTCCCATACTGTATAGTGTCAGTATTTAGTCATAGTGGTTCAACACTGTCTTGACACGCCAGCCTAAATACAGTTCTCTCAATATTGGTCTTATATCCTTGCAGAGAGCTGCAGTTTAAGTCATCAAGCCGCAGTTTGCAAAGACAAATAGAAACTTGTGGTTTATTCAAGTGGAGTTTGTATTCTAGCGACCAGTGATGAAAACACACATATTTATATGGTGTGTATTTTTCTAATTTTCATTTTGGCACACGCTCAAAAAGCATTTTGACAAAAGGAATACTGTGTTTTGAATGAAGTGCAGTAAATAAGAATGTCCATGTTTCTCCCTGTGAGAGTTGTGTTTACTTTGGAGGCTTGGACGCTGGCCAGTGGAGGAGGAATAGTTTTCAGAAATAATCAGGGGGCGCACTTATTACCCAGGATTCTCTTCTTAAAATGGTAAATGATACTCTTCTACATCCCTGCGAGCAGGAGTCTGCAGATGAAGGAGAAATTCCTCTAGTTTTTGAGAGAGAAAATAAATCCCCCCGAAACTCCATGCTTCATTTTAGTTTAATGTTTCACAGGGGCTCAAACTGCGCTGTAAAAGGTTAAGATATTTGTTCTTAATGTGTTGGAACGGCAGTCTCACTTAGCAGGTTTGTAGAAAAGAGCTGGAAAAAAAGCAAACTGTAGCCGATGTGCACCCCTGTGATTTCAAAGTGTGGTAAACTAGCTGACATTTCACACCACTTTGAAGAGTTTGACTCAAGTAAAAATGAAAAAAAAAATATAATATATTCCTATATGCAGTAGACACATCATTAGCAAGTTTATTCCCCTTCAAACTGTGAAAATACACTTATGTCAAACAAAGTTGCTCAACTTTTATATACTATACTGGACTATTCTGTAATGATAATGACCCTTGTCCTTTCAGAGCAGTTAGCATCCAGATTCCCTGTCTCTGGTTTCCTGTTGGTTAGGCTTTTCACCTACAGTAACACCAGCCAGTTATTTAGATGAAAATAGCGTCAACGTCTCAGGAGCTGTCAGTGGAATATTCTATATTGGCATAGTTAGCACAGTAAACAGGTAGTATCTATCCTTGTTTGCCTGCGGTCAAATGTTGTTCCATCTGTGGTTGTTTACTGTGCAAAGCCATAAACGTCTTCATTCTGTAACCTTATTCAGCTCTCAGACTGGACATCCTTATTTCAGGGCTGAGACTAGTGAAAATATTGATGGATTGAGGTATTATGGTTTTGTGTGCAGCAAACCCATGACGGCTCGGTATTTACAGTTTAATTTTAAGATCACAAAGTTGCGCACTCGCGCTGGAGACAATGTATATACATGTCCTGGTTCCCAAAAATGCCTCCTTGTGTCAGCGTGCAGATTTAGAAGTTTCTTATTGCTACTAATTCAGAGTATAAACGGGGGGGGGGGGCTTTAAAAAAAAAAAAAAGTCTGGAAAATATCAAAAGTTTGCTTTGCTGCAATAGTTGGTTGTCATGTCACTCGTAGGAGCCAACTGTACAAATATAGATACTGCTTACTGTGCAGGACTTCTGTTACAGTAACTGCATAAGCATTTCAGTGATGGAATATAAGTACATTTACTCAACTACTTGATTATGTCCATTTTCTGACACTTTATGCTTCTACTTCACTACATTTCTGAGGGAAATAATGTACTTTTTTACTCCACTACAGTTAGTGACTCTAACAGCAGATGCTGGATAATGAGCACTTTTCCTCTTGGGTACATTTTTCTGATAATACTATAAGTAAGATAGTGGATGCATGGCAGAAGTGCTGGATCTGAAAACCTCCTGCACCACTGCATTTTTCATTGTGAGAAACAGAATGTTAGACAGTAACAGCAAATGTTTAGAGTAACAATGATGTTCTGCAGGACTGATCATATTAGTCATCGGTTGTTAGCTGCTCGAACACAAACACAATTATGCAAGCATCGTCTTTTTGGAAGGTTTTCTCAACATCTGACATTCACAAATATATAAATCATGTTGTCCAGATTCAAATCTCATTTATAAGGAGACATGAACAAATCAGTTGACTGTAAGTGAAGTTTTAGACAGAACAGGACGTAATAATTACATTATAATAAGAATACCCTGAGAATATCTCCACATTCCCTTTGCCTTTTGTAAACCAGTGCAGTAGCTGTGGTTGTATCTTGCATTTTAATAGCAGATTTTAAAAATGTAATTTGCCCTGAAAAGTGCTGTGATACATTTTATAAGAGGTTTGAATTTAACTTCTTCATTCTCTCCGTCTTTTGGCTTCTTTCTCTCCATGTTGTGACTAAACTCCTGGTAATATTAGTTTCCCATCGGTACATAAACCAGCCCACTTCTTGCTGTGATGGACTCAAGAACAAAATCTGATTTCTTTACATCCACATTTGTGATTTGTGTCTGAAACTGACAAATGCAGCTGGAGCGAGGGAGTCAGCTGCTCTGAGCGAACGTCTGTCTTTAATTTGTACTGTTTGCTCTGCATCACTGAACCAAAAAAACAAGACTGGGAGTTTTTATTTTTTTTTTTTCAGTCGTACCTCCAGGCACACTGTATGGCACACACATTAGTTTGTGTTTCATTGTGTGGATACATATTGCGTTTTTTTGTTTTTTTTTGCTGCAGTATGACTCAAAGCACCATGAAAACCCCTGTATGACAGCGTAGAAAATCCCTGTGATTTGTGCGCTGATCTGTACTTTAGGTGTAGCGTCAGGCTTGAATTTTTATGTTTTCATTTCCACTTTTCTTGTCACGCTCTGTTAGAAATGAATGTGGTCATTTTCAATACAGTCACATTTGTCATTGCCCAAAAGTAATCCGTGGTCAAACAGCAAGCCAGTCAGTGTGTGACCTATTAGAATGGAAAATGTTTCCTTGACTGGAAAACCACACCTGAGGTACCACGCCACACTCAAACACAATGTTCAAAAGCTGAGAAAATATAAGGTGTAAGGAAAAGTTGGGAGTAAAATGTCTTTTTTGTTTGAGTTGTAACTTTGTCATGTCTGATTAGTTACCACATAGACGATTTAACCACAGGAACACAAGCTGGAACTATGATCAACAAGTGAAACTGATCCTGTTTATTCAAGGAGGAAAAAAAACTCAATCTTTTATAACTGTTTTTTTTGCTTCATGATAGTTAAGACATAAATAAATATCCTGCTTAGCTCATGAACATTTGACAGGTGAACTGTTGCGGTCAAGTACAATCTAATCTGACCTTCCAGATACACAGCAGGCTGTCTAACGTCCAGGCCACCCTGTTGCCTTCACTCGTATTCCATTTGAGAAAATGTCAGTAATATACATTTTGAGGGGTATTTGACTCAAGGAAACTGGATTTAGATTGTGCTGTCCGCAGCACTATATGGCCAGGGATGTAGAGAGTGGTTAGAGGGTTCTGAAGCAGCTGGGAAGGGGAAATCATGTCTGGATGTCAGCTAACTGATGCATTTCATGCTCATTTTTACACTAGGAGCAAAGTCAAAACCTTTGCTTCAGACCCAGATGGGACCACAAATGTGCAGTTAAATATTCACCCTGTTTTTTTTTCTCTCTTCTTCTTCTTCTTCTTTTTTCTACAGTCACCAAAAAATGTCATGTTGCATATTGATGTTTGGATATTTGGATTTTGGTTTACAACATCCATTACACTTCAGTATATCCCTAACTCCCTAACCCTGTCATTTTCTGTTTCTGCAGGTTTACGCAGATGATGTGCTCACAAAAGAGGAACAGATAGGCCTGTTGTTCAAAGCCAAACGGAAGTGTGAGGGCAACATCAAGTCAAAGCACAAGATCCCCGGTGAGTAAAGAAGCAAGATTGAGTGTCTGCAGCCATGCAGGTGGCCCTGTGGGGCTGTACCTCTACCTAAATGCTATAAATGCCAATGTCAGCATGGTAACATGTTAACAGTGACAACGATAACGTGCTGATGTTTAGCAGTTATAATGTTTATCATGTTCGCCATTCTCAGTTAAGTGTGTCAGCATGCTAATATCTACTAATTAGCACAAAACTAAAATACAGCTGAGGATGAAGGGAGTGCCATTAGTTTGACCTATGTTGCTTTTAATAAAGAGTCAGAGGATCACTAAAGTTATTACAGTTAATAATGCGGGGGGGGGGGGGGGCATGAACGTCTGTACCAAATTACATAACAATCCATCCAGTAGTTGTTGAGACATTTCACTCAACACCACAAACATCGACCTCATGGTCTCGCTAGAGGAAATGTCAGAGGATCATCAAAGTCAAAAAGATTCATCCTCAATGGGCCATGAATGTCTGTACCAGAATTTATGGGAGATATTTAGATATTCCAGTGTGGACCAAAGTCCAGACAGACAGACCAGCACCGCCACCCCCACAGCTACGCCACCAGCATTGCTACAAAGGCAGGAATGTGGGAAAATATGACAGACCCTTAGACGTTGTGTAGGATGTGTTTTTTTGCCATTGATCAGTTGTTTTTTTTTCTGCAATGACATCTATAATTATCCAAGAGCTGGTAGCTGTCCATCATTTGCTCCCTCAACCAATTACTTTTTTGTAACGCCATCATATATATGTGTTTATGCTTGCCATGCAAATCAGCAAATTAAATGAGTGAGTTGCATAGATAAAACAGATAAAATCCATAAGCCTATCAATCATGGTTTGTTTATATTGACCGAAATGCCTTGTATAGCAACACGTAGATACCACGGAGAGGTTATTGACAGATGAAAATGGAAGGAAACTAATTACGCAGGATATGTGACATTGCGACGGGTTCATGCGACGACAAGGTCCCACTTCATTAGCCTTGATTAGTTCATGAGGGGAGCCCCCCCCCCCCCCCTGAATTCCAGCAAGATACAGAGGTTCAAAGGGGAGAGCAATAAATCCCCCAGGGGCTGCACAGGACAAATCCTCATGGACACAGATTTGAAATACTCATAATGTACAAGGCAGGGGAAGCTGGGAGTACCAGCAGGAGGCTGGAGGAAGAAATCAATCAGCACAAACAGTAACATTTACCAGGGACTGAAGGAGTGAACACCTATAGCTAGCAGCAGCAGCAGCAGCGTGATGAACACAAGAGTGAAAGTGAGAGTGCATCAGACTGTAAGGACGGCCTTGTTGTCCTGATTGAATGTGATTGGTCACTTGTTTGAATGTGACTGTTGATTTTAAGAGCTTATAATCAGCTGATGTTGTGCACACTTCAGCGCTTCTCAGTGTTTTTTGCCTACTTTCTGCTGATTCGGGATTCAAATCAAATCCGTCTTTTGAGGCAGTTCCCATGCAGGCAGTCGAATGTGTACTTTTAAGTTGATGGTTACATTCGAAAATGCTGCTCTGTTTCCTTTGTCCTCCCTGCGGCTTTCCAGAGGCTGGGATCGAGGGCAAAGCTGATCCTGGGCTGTATTTGTGTATTTATGGGTGTCTGAGGAGCACCATTTTCCAGCAGACCCCAGCATCTACTGTATCTCATTGTGGTTACTGTCATTTTCCCAGTTGATTGTTCAGAGGAGGATTTTGGATTCCACAGTCAAACCAATCATATTATTTTCTCTTTAACCCCAGTGCTTTGCGGTCACATTGAATTCCTCGACCCTCCAAACGATACCCCCTTGTAGATGAAACACATAATTAAAAATGTTTACTTCCAGGCTCTGAACACAAAAACTTTTGTTGACCATTCCCTGGAGTTCCTTTGCCCTTTGCGGTGGTATTTCCCAACTTCTCATGGTTTTGATAAATGTCCATAAATCTCAAATTGGATTTAAGAAAATACGACAGAATTGCTACTATTGAGAACTGCAGGCGCCGAACAGCAGCTTGTGTAAGACGTCCCGGGGTTTACATAACAACGCTGTGCTTTTAACAGGACGGCCATAGATGCTCATGAAAAGCAGAGCAGTCAGTCAAACATTAGGCCGCTCTCAGATGAGAGTCTGTGCTGCTCATCCGGCCACATCATGCTTAATCCATCCTGACATGTCATAGTGACTGGCAAGCCTGGTGTCACACTTCAACAGCCACCTCCCTGCAACATTTGCAGCTGTCTGTTCATTTACTTTTTTTCTTTTTTTTTTCTTTTTTTTTGTGTAGAGTGAATTTTTATGTCATAATTTAAATTAATATTGTAATAAGTCATTTCACACAATCTTGACTAGACTTGGGTATGAATGGCACATACAATATGTCAGATTTAAGATTTGGGCATTTACATGATTAAATTTAACTTAACTTTTTAACTATTGGTCGGACAAATCAACCAATTCAACCATTTGAACTTGTGATGAGCATTTTTCACTATTTCTTTTCACTTTTTTAAGCGATTACTCAAAAAAAAAAAAAATTGAAACTATAATATAAATGATAGGCATTTGCAGCCCACGATTTAGTGCACTATATATGCTGGGCATGCCTCTCTGTTTGTACATGAGTGAGGATGTTTGGACTCTAACAAGCCAATCAGGAATGTCTTGTCTGGGGATTCTGGGAAATGCTTGAGGTGCTTGTTTTGGGGGTACATGGGCATATGAGAGCTGGCCTGCATACCTGATGATGCTGGCACACATTGGACGTGACTCATCCTGCATGTGGTGGCTGTTTTCTGACCTCTTTTGGAAGGTTGAACATGTCCGTTCAATCACATAACAGCTGAAGGAATTAGAATAAACATATTACCTTAATAAAGAAAAAAAGAGAGTCCCCGGTGTGGTTGTACCGTATGCCTGGATAAGCACATATACGCTCTTTTAACATGCTTGATTTGAGATTTTTTTAACCTAATGGCACGTGAATTGCTTTCACTTCGCTTTACTTGAACCTGATTTGAACTTAAGAGTCTCATCTGGTTGTTTGTTTGTAATTATGTAATGTGGAAATCATTTAAAACCTGGGTAGTGGTTTTGCTGTGATGTGGAGTAAAATTATGGAGGCTGTCAAGATTTGAGATAAAGTTCAAGGAAATCATTACTTGGGCTTTCTGATGACCCATGTAAGCATTTTCTTTGAAGTGGTTGTTAGGATTTGGACAGAATTCACTCTTGTAATTTTTTTGTTTTACATATTCTTTTTTTCTCTCTTGTACTGTGGTGTAACCTTGAATCTGTGGGTTGAGGTAAACTCAGAGAATAGCAGCTAGTGTGCATTTTTTAGGACCTTGGCTTTACATCTGTGTTTGTCTTGCCTGTGTCCTGCCTGACCACCCCCGGAGTTTTTTTTTTTTTTTTTTTTTTTTTTTTTTTTCTGGCACTGTAAACTCGCGGTTTTCTGAACTATTATAGGAGATGTGGAGTGATGACTATTTTAAAACACCGGCAGTGTGAAACGTCGGATTTACTCAGAGTAATGAATTGATCGAGCCCTGAAAAAGATGAAGTCCTGTGTGAGGCTGAAACTGGTTTGGTTGTATTTCAGCATTTTATCTATTTGTTTTTATTTCTCATTTGTGCTTTAAATACACAAAAGTCTCCATTACGTGGCTGAGACAAGGTTTTCATTGAGGGAAACACTGAGGTTTGCCTGGAGAGGACAGTGGAGGGATGTGGGTTCAATGCCCCAGACCTTGCAGTGTGAAAATAGCTCAGCCTTCAAGCTTGTGGTCTGGGTGTAGAATAACATCAGCAATCATTATAAAAGGTTGCATGTATCAGGAGAAAGTGCAATATGTGTTTTGACATCTGCGCATCAGAATCAAATGAGTTGGGGGGGGGAAAGAAAACCTTATTAAAAACCCCAGTGACATCACTAATACCAAAGTCCCCCCGTAGTCACGTTTATATTTAAATCGTGGTCAAGAAATTTTCGGGAAATTATATATGTGCGTGTGTGTGTGTGTTCGGTGTTTAATTTAAGCTTGTTAGTAGGTGGTCCGATGGTAATAAAACCTATGGCAAAAGTGAACAGCAATTCTACTTTTACTCCCAGGATGTGTGGTCAGTGTGATTTTCAAAACTGAACGCTGTTTTTCTCCCACCAGAGATCTGTAGGAATCAGTCAGCTCCACTCAGTCTGCTCTTTAATTTTGTGACAGGCAAATAAAAAGCATGTCGTCATCGCTTCAGATGTTTCTTTGTAGGTTTGATTACAGGAATGAGAAAATAATGGATCTACTGCAAAGAGAGTATAGTTTTAGTTTTATCCTCAGCTACTTATTAGTGGTCAAAGTGGGGCAGATGTTTTCAATAATGCAACATAAATGCCAAGCCATGAGGGAGGCTTTTGCCAGGAATCTGTGGGGAAAGGGACTTCGCGCCCACTATCAGAGGGCTGAGGTTCACGGTTTAGCTGACAATTAAGGGGCTCTGTGCTGCGAAACTGAATTTTTCCGCTTGAACCTGTAGCTCTTTGTCTGATCTAAGTATAGACGCGTTATTACAAAAATCACATCAGCTGCATTCCTCACTGAAAATAGATGACAAAGTTTTTGTGATGTTCAGAAAAAGAAATGCAGTCAGCAATGATGTAGGAATCACACGAAAGTGAAGCAAACACTGAGAGGTTTGAGTTTGGCTGTTTACATTCTAAATGTTTTTCACCACAGCCTCAAAAACTCTCAACTTTAATTGCAAATCCCTCTAAGTTTTATTTGACCAGCCAATCCTGTAATTGAAACAAAACACATGAAGGGTAATTACAGGAGGTTAAAATTGTTGATTTCTTTAAATTGGTTCGGCTGGTAGTGATTATTCATTAAGAAGTGAAATGAGACATTCTAGAAGACATGATTAAACATTATTATTATTGTTATTATTATTGTTATTAGCAAACAAAGACAATACACATTTTTTATTTTCTTTTTCTGCGTTCAGTTGAATAATACATTAGTGTTAAATACATGTTCACTTAAGTTCAATGGTTTTGTTATTAATAATGCCGGCATTATATATCAGCCATCAGCCACACTGCCCTCTAAGTATCAGCAGTGACATCAGCCATAGAATTATTAGATTGTGGCCATATAATTGGTTTATTAGATAGTGACACAGATAGATGAAGTTGAAACAATTCACCAATGATTTGGTTATTTGATAAAAAGAAATGTAATTGGCAACAAATTTGATAATTAGTTCATTGTTACAGCTGTTTAACCAGGCAGAATAGGAAATATTATATTGTTGCACCTTCTCAAATGTTGAGATATGCTGTTTTTTATATTATTTTAGATGGAATTTGTCAGACAAAACAAGACATTTGAAGAACATGAGATGGGCATTTTTAATACTATTTCATGACATTTCCTAAAACGCTTCCCTAATTAAGTTGAATGTGATGCAGGCCAAAAACATCCTTATGATACAAAAAAGGCCAATCAGCTATATAACACTGCACTTTTATTTTGCAGTAATATGCTACTTGGGATACAACAGTGCAGCCAGTGTTGTAGGGAGTATTTTAAATGACATCCATACTGAAACCAATTCCATACAACATGAAAACAACAGGATGGTATCAACAGTGTAGCAGTTATGGAAATCTGCTGCAGCTAACAAACAAACAAGTTGTAATAAACACAAGATTCAATGGACAACTTGTTATCAGTGTTCTGTGAATCGCATGATTGTCTCAGTAATATCACAACAGATGGAGGTCGGGCAAGAATGTATGTTCTCAGGGTGACCCATGAACAAAACAGACTTAACACAGACTACACGTTTCCTGTGCTGTGCTCATTTACATATCCGTAAAGTTCACGCATCTGGCCTAGTTTTTAAAGGACAACAGAATCATTTAAAACACACAGTCCTTGCTCTTGTAAATGCCCATAGCTGTGTAACCCTGGAACCAAGGGGGAGAACAATTCTCTGTGGCTCTATTTTTAAAAGTCAGCACTGCTTTTGTCTCCGCAGATGGTTTCTGCTCACCAGAATGGGACGGGATTGTTTGTTGGCCTGAAGGGCCTCCGGGAAAGCTCGTATCTACCGCCTGTCCAGAGTACATCTATGACTTCAACCATAAAGGTGAGTCTGGCCCTGGATACAGTCAGCAGTTGAAACCCTGAAGCTCATCTTCAGTGTGAAGTGAAAGAGCACCAGGGCTCAGATGCTATACTGTATACTGTACAATCATAACCTGGGCTCCTACTGAAACCTTTTTCGCAATTTCTAATTAATAAAAAAAAACAAAAAAAACAAGCTGAGAATGAGTAATTTACTGTGTTGGCAAACGAAAGGGAAACTGTGATTAAAAATACACTCTTCTTCTTCTTGATGTCAAGGCCTGGCATACCGCCGGTGTGACAACAATGGAACGTGGGAGCTGGCCACAATCAACAAGACGTGGGCCAATTATAACGAATGTGCGAAATTCCTCTACCATTACAACCACAGCCATGAAAAGGTGAGATCAGTCTCATTTGATTTAACATTCTCATTGCTCATTGACACATTTACAGGGGCTTCCTCCGGTATAATTAAGAGCAATAGACTGAATGCATCACCTGAGTAAAATGTCACACATTAGCTAATACAGCCTTTTAGGCAACTATTGCATCATTTTAAACTGTAATTACAATCTCTCTGAAATGTGTAACATATTTTCAGCTCGCCTTTTCAGTAATATACAATAAACCTTAAGTATATCTATTGAAATGTTTGAGATGATGATGGAGAGATAATGACAGCATGACAATGTGGCTGCTTTGTGATAGTGATGAATGTGATGAAGCTGCAATTAGCTAAATGTCCATTCAGATATCAACTGAAAACGGTGTCACATTAGTCTACATGGCAAATAGCAAAACTTGCCAGAAAGCATTGCATTCAACGAAAACTTAGAGCTAACCAATCATAACTAAATCTCATATCCAGCTTCCAGTAACTAGAAAATAAGAATTTTGCAGTGGACTGACGTCATGTTTTTCTGGAAATTACGCAACGTTGAGTAATGCAGCTTTAAATGTACGGATTTTATTGTTGTTACTGTTATTTTTTTTTTCTTTTCTTTTCTTTTCTTTTCTTCAACAAGCAGAAATCTTGTAAATGCGTAAAACATTACATCATGTAAGTTACATGGCCAAAAGCACGGCGACCTTCAAATATTACACTCAAGAGCGACTGTTGAGCATCTAATTCCAAAACCATGACCATGACTTTGTTGTTACAACAGCTTTTTTTTTTTTTTTTTTTTTTTTTACATAGTTTTGGAAACTGGCCGCAGGGGTTTGCACCCATTAAGCCAAAAGATCATCACTGAGGTCGGGCACGGGTGATTGGCACACAGTCAGTGGTCCATCTCATCCCAGGCGTCCCCAGGTGTCCTCAACCCCATCAAACACCTTGATGGGGTCGAGGTCAGAGCTTTTTTTTTTTTTTTAAACCACGAAACGCAGAAAATGGTTTCTTTATGGACCTGTCTTTGATCACAGGGGGGCACAGTCACAGTTACACAGAAAATGCCCTCTGCAAGCTGTGGCCAAAAAGTTGGAAGCGCACTATTGTCAATGTAAAATCTCTATGATGTAGGATAAAGATTCTCCTTCACTGGAACCAACACATGGGGGGAAAAAAAGCAGCAGAATAAGTTAAAGCACATACTTTTGTGCAAATAATGTGTTTCCTGAATAGTCTGAGGTTACTCACGTGTAAAAATGTAAGTGATTTAATTTTATTTAATTATTGTCATTTGCTGTTATCGAAGAAAACATTTATTACATAATTACAGTGTCAGACCTAACATGGGGATGATACTTGTTTCATACCTGTCCCATCTGTAGCCGCACTTCGCTTTGATGTGCATTGTAACATTATGCAATAAAGTGGTGGTACACACACAAGCACAACACAGCGTAAACAGAGCAGCAACACTGTGGAAGAGACTCTGGTAAAAAAAAATGATGATCACATGACTGGCAGTGTCTGACTCTGACACCCATTACACCCGTTGACACACACAACTCCTGCATTTGTAATCTTGAACCACAGCTTCCCGATACTGTGTACTACCTTAACATCTCCATGAAGCGTAGCCATCTGTAACATACAATCTAAACATTACCAGCGCGTGGGAGTCAAACCTTGGATCGTAAATACCGTAAACGCTGACATCAGCATCACACCACAGAGGCGTGTTGGGCAAATTGTTTTGTAAACCGAACACGGCAGCCTTTTAACTACCAACCATTCCCCCCCGAGACTGACAAAGGTGGATGTGACCCCGATTGCAGTTGTTCCTCTTGTTTCTCTATCATTACGTTAGGGGTGGGGGGGAAGGGGGGGGTTGTTGGATGTCAGAACACAACACTGGCAGTGAATAGGACCACTGGGTATTGTAAGAAGAGTGGAAAACTGCTAGAATCTGGCTGCAAATGGAAAAATAGCACTTACGCATCCATTATTGTGTGTATGTGAGCACGTTTTTCCTGTATAAGCAATTACAAGTAGTTTTTTTTTCTTTTTTTTAAATTATGATCCAGAAACATTTTAATAATATCACGGTAAACATTCTATAGCCTTTAAATGAACGAAGTGTATTATTATATCACAGTTTTGTGCGAAGTGGCTCTCTAGTTCACATTGCTGCTAGTGGTTACAATTAATCTAGCCCTTTGCAAGTGAATATGGGGCATAGAGTAATAGAGAAATCAATCACTCGTCGATATAACACATTCAAAGCTCACTCAGGAAGTTTGGTAGATGGCTGTGAAGGGTGTCATAGTTTGATTTCTACTCGTTTTTGCCATGACACAATACAAATATCAGCCGTCCCACATAAATTTTCCTCTCCCCCTGCTTGAATGTGGTGTGGAGGATGTGGGCATAACCTCATCATGGCACCCTTCAATTTCTCTCTGACTTCAGACGTTTATGTTGATGGGCTCCCAAGGGAGCGGTTGCAGCAGTTAATGACAAATACATACGCACGAATGAAAGCCCCACACAGCACAACTGCCATACCGCCGACCACCACCACAACTTAGACGGGGGGTTCACTGGCTCAGGAGCCTGATGCTAAATGATAACAGCAGTGCAGTATCTGGTTACATCACATGGGGCTCTTGGCCCCATCATGCCTGTTGACTCACAGAGGGTCTGCTTTAGTGGCTTTCCTTACATTGTCCTCTGGCTGCCAGCTCAGTGCTGGAAGATCAGACTGCCCCACCCAGCCTTTCTCAGCTCCATCACCCACGTCAAATGCTGTTTCCATTTGGAACTTCTAGGCACACGAGACATATCTGTCACCAGGTGGCAATGCATTTTCAAAAGCAGTGAAGTGAATGCATTATGAAGCTTCATTTTGAGGGCAAAATGTTGTTTGAGAATTTTTGTCATTATCTGTATGTTTACTTTGCCCGTTGGGAAAACGTGCTCTTTGCAATAAAATCAATTATTAAAAATAATGAGGTCGTAAACTGAATGTTTCTACTTTTCCAAAATGTCTGCATCACTAAAACTGAATAAAATCCTGCCTGTGTAGATGTGATTTTCAAACAGTTGCAGATAAATGTTTGTCAAATTATTTTTATGAAAAAGATGATAGCGATAATTTATACTGACGAATGTTGTCTTTTCATTGGTGGAGCTGAGGCCTCTTACTCCCATATTGTACATGAGCATACAAGTGTACGATGTTATGTACAGTAAAAATTCCAGTTTCTCCATTTTTTCACATAAATATGGCAGTACAGTTATGCCTTTATTTATATATATATATATATATATACACACACACACACATATACAGTACTGCACTGAACCTTCTTGGCATCGAGTGTACAGGTTCACAACATATTGTGCCGTCTATCCTGTTCCACTCCTGGAGGGCGACCTCCTTGAGAGCCTTGATGTTTGAGGCGGAGTGCTGCTCCGCTTGTCTCTTCAAAATCCCCCACAGGTGCTCAGTAGGTTTGCAGCACTTTCACCTTGTTCTTCCTTAAGAAAGCAGCAGTGGCTTTGGAAGAATGTTCGGGGTAATTGTCATGTTGAAAAAGTGCCCGTCGACCCAGAGTGTGGAGAGAGGGTAGCATCTTCTCTTTCAGGATTTTGCAGCTGCAGTACAACTCCCCAACACCTTCAGCTATCATAAATCCCCATATAAGAACTTAACCACCGTCATACTTCACTGTTGGAACCATGCACTTCTTACTGTACCAACCCCCCCCCCTTGTGATGCCATACATTTCGGATGCCATCAGATCCAAAAAGAAAGCGTATAGATTCCCAAAAGTCTACACCTTTGTCAATATGGGCCTTGGCAAAGGCTAAACGGGCTTCAGCAGTGCATAACCAGCCATGCATTCCACTCTTGTGTAGGCTGCATCTCACTGTGTGAGATGAAACAGTCACTCCAGTTTGGCTTTCCATAGCTTTTGTCAGGTCTGAGGCACTTGCTTGCCAATTCTCTCGCACTTTTCTCAAAAAAAACTCCCCAGGTGAAAGCTTACAACGACAACCTGGACGTTTCCATCCTTTCTGAAGTCCTTCCTTTTTATATTTCTGTGTTCCTTTCGACTTCTGACTCATCCTCTTGTACCCTCGCCCCTTTCTGTGCAGTGAAATAATTCTGTTGCTCAAGTCTCCAGACTATTCCCTCCCTAGTGGTGCCATTTTTGTCAGCATTAAGTCTGAGAGTGATTCAGTGGGTTAGGTGCCACTTTAATTGTCAACCAGTTACACCTGTTTGAGTGGAATGGTTCAACAGACTCACCAGGTGAGTCTGGTGACCTTAACGAGCACCAAAAAAAACATCTCATTAAGTCTTATTTTGTAACTTTCAGGAGGGTGTACTCATTTTTGCAACATGTGCTTTTACTATTTTGACAAGAAAATCATATTGTCCTGTTTAGTGCTGACATACATCATGGGTAACTGATGTAGGAGAGTTCCTGGAATATTATATCATATAGGAACCCCAAATATGTTTTATTTGTAAAGAGAAAGCACTGAATTTGTTAGGTATAAGAGAGGGTGTACACATTTATGCTTTATATTGTATATATATATATATATACAAGGGAGGTGTATGACATGAAACACAGATATCTCGGCCAGGAGCAGAACCGTGGACATTGTGGTTACATAGTATACTCATTGTTCTTATGGACACAGATCAATGGTTGGTGGCCAGGTTATTTTTTCTATTTTATTTTTTTTCTATCAAAATGAGATTTTTTTTTTTTTTTGATACACAAAACTGAAATAATTTGACTAAAACCTGCAGTACATCTAGCACCACGGTAACGAGAGGATGTGCTGTAGTCCTCTGAGTCTTAAAGTCGTTATCCTTTTTTCTGCCGTTTTTCTAATCTGCCAATTTATCCTCTTCCAACAGGAGGTCTTTCACCGTCTGTATCTCATCTACACAGTGGGGTACTCCATTTCTCTGGGATCGCTCATGGTGGCCGTAGTCATCTTGGGATATTTCCGGTGAGTCGATGCTGTCACTGGGAGTTTTTCAATCAATCCTTTCAACCACAAACGTTCTCAGGAGAGAGATTTAGACACAGGGTCAGAAATGAAGGTGAGAGCAATTGCAGAAGGGATCAAAACAGGCAGACTAAATGTTTAATGGCATGATGGCACGATGAACACACCGGTTTCTCACCACGCCATGTTATCAGTCTGAAACATACAGCGAGAGCAGAGAGCATATTAGTTTCATGATGACTTAATGGAGAAAAAAAGAAAAGAGGCTTTATCATGAAATCATGCAACTGTCCCTCCCTGCGTGATCATGCAATGTATTATATTTTGTGTCACGGCAACAACACAAAGCATGCAAACTGTATCAGACGCTACCTTTGACTTTTACTTTGACTTTTAACAGACTATGATATGTCCACATTTGAGGAGGAGTCTGCCTCCGGGCTTGCAGTAATGCATGCCTCATTGCCTGACATTTAGGTTCTTTGTTATTTTCATGCTGATTTCAAGTTTCGACAAAAAACAGCCAACGCTTTGATATTGATTTTGTAATTCCGCCAAGCTTAGATAGACTCCATTTCGCTTCTTTGCCTTTCGCAGAAACATGTAAAGTAGATAAATAAGTTCTTTGAAAATGTGAAGAATTGAGAGTACACACTCCGATATAAGGGTTTTTTTCTTCACAGCTGATTAATGCAGGGCAGATTTGTCATTATTTGCTCATTTTCGTTGAGCATAGGGAGTATCAGGAATCGATGTGAAGGCGCTGTTTACCAATGCTCCCACCAGCATGACTTACTGTACAGGCAGGCAGTCAGAAAGCTTTAGGAACGCTCCCAACTGGCACCAGGAAATCTACAGGTCAAATGAGTTTAATAAGTTATCCCAGGGGCCCATCTGACATTCTGGCTCTGTGCTTCGGAGCACTCCAGCCATGTCTCCCCTTCAACATGTCAGCTTTTAGACAGGAGAGCTCATAAATGTTTTCTGGGGAGAGAAAAGGGATATTTCACATTAGCAGTTGTGTTCGGTATTTTTCACCAGGGAAATGTACGCTACTCCCACTCCCTGCTCCTGAATCAATCATTTTCTGAGGGTAGCTAGTCAAATGTTCAGCTCGTTAATGAGGCTTTAATAGTTAACAACGGATACAGTGGGATAATTTCAGTATTTTTCACAATATTTCTAGTTCAAATTGTCTTTTTGAATGTATTAAAAAGCTGGTGAATATTCAGGAATATTACCATTGATTTTTTTTATTTGACTGTGTAATGATGTAACCTTTGCAGCTATTGATCTAGCAACTTGATTCCAATACGGGGGCATGACCACCACCAAAGGCCCACTCCACAGGAAACTCTCAGACAGGATGTTTTGGGAGAATTTCTTTGACAGATAAACTAAAGCGCTTGTCTGGAAAGGAAATTTGCATGCTTTTCTCAACACATGCTTGCAATTTTGTTTTTACAGCTCACTTTGAGCCCAGCATTTCAATATTTGTGCGTTTCAAGCCCCTAAATCTCAAGAATGTGTTATAGTCAGCGTGGAATTCAGCTGGCTCTAATTAGGATGAGTATTGTTTGTGTGTGTGTGTGTGTGTGTGTGTGTGTGTGTGTGTGTGTGTGTGTGTGTGTGTGTGTGTGTGGTTGTGCGTGTGTGTGTGGGGGGGGGAGTGTGTGTGGGTGTGCGTGTGAAAATACTTACAGACAATTAAATGAAGGTGTGTGTGTGTACACGTACACACACACACACACACGCACACACACACACACACACACACACAAACACAAACACACAATCTTCAGCAGATCTATCTTCTGACCTTGTGTCTCTTGTTTGCTTTGTCCCCCAGACGATTACACTGCACCAGGAACTACATCCACATGCACCTATTTGTGTCCTACATGCTTAGAGCCATCAGTATTTTTGTGAAAGATGTCGTGCTCTACTCTGGGTCGGCCCTAGAGAACATGGAAAGAGTCACAGTGGAAGACCTCAAGTCCATCACTGAGGCTCCACCAGCCAACAAAACACAGTTTGTAAGTAAACGCACTTTACACTTACAGTATAGATGGGGTCAACATAAAACACTGTGTCCTTGAAAAATACTTACTGAATTTCTTTTTTAAGATTATTTTTTCAGTGCTTATGCCATAACATGGAACAAGACATATGTAACATACAGTTATTTCTGTTTTTCTGCAGACAATAGAGAATAATAATAAGTATCATCAACGATTGCATGACATGCACAGATCATTTGATTTGTAGCGTAGTTTGGCGTTAAACATTTTGCTTCCAAAGAGGAAGTGGTATTTTGCAGAGTCTCACCTGCTTTTCCAGAGCCGGAGCAAATAAACTGTACTATTTGTCACCATGCCAAGCTTTTACTAGGCCAGTACTTGGCTTTCCCTTTCAGAGTCAAGTTTAAAAAATGGGTGAAGACTGGGTACTTTTCACGCATGCTTTAACATGCAAACAAACAATTTGTGCAATATATTTAGTGGACACTTTTATCCTGTGGCTCTCCAAACTGAGTAACATTAGATTAGAAGTGGTTTGTTAGAGTAGGTGACATACTGTACGGGAACACAATGGAGGAAGGTACTGTACATTGTTTATGCTGTTGCGTACGGTATACTGCAGTGTATGTATCAAACAACATCAGGCAGCCCAGTGAAAACCTTATCCTAAGGCTACTGTAGAAATATCAATACAAATTTGAAGTCTTTGTAAATGTAGATGAAAGTGACCATATATATTTATATACAACCAGGCCATTTCACAGATTATACTGTAGGCAGGGGGCGGCACAATGGTTAGCACCGTCGCCTCACAGCAAGAAGGTTTTGGGTTTGGGCCCTTTTTGTGTGTTGTTTGCGCCGAGTACGCCGGATTCCTTCCCCCCTGCACGTTAGTTCAATTACTCTAAATTGCCTGTACGTGTGAATGTGTGAGTGAACAACCCCACACAACGCCTCATTTGAGGGTCACGGGGTTAATTGACAACAGGTTAATTGGCGACTCTAAATCGCCCATAAGTGTGAATGTGAGCAGGAATAATTGTTTTGTCTCAGCCCTGTGATTTACTGGCGACCTGTTCAGGGTGTTTGGCGCTAAAATGAGGTTTTCTTTATTCACCTTCCATTTTCAAACCTAGCTTCATTTGATGACAGCACAGGGTTTGCAACAATAACTCAGCTTTGTAAATATATTTCAGTCCTGACTTACAGAAGTCCTGACTTACAGAAAGATAATGGATCTTTGTCTCCATTAAAGGGGTGAAAGCACAATTAAAAAGCTGCCCCATGGCAACCCCCCCCCTGCTGTAGCCCAGCAATGCTTGTTAGAATACACACTGATGAGAAAAGGTAGATATGAAAATTATAGACTGGTAATCAGCAGAGGAACAGACGGTGCTGAGTCTAATAATCGTGGCATGACAATAGAGCAGTGAGGAGTCTGACTTTAACTGGAGCCCAATCGATGGCTGACTAAATCATTATGGGCTCCTGAGACTTCCACACATCCTGTCAATAGAACAGCACATAATACTAACTGGATTATTATGAACCTCTGTTCAAACACAAACAAGCTATAATGAGATAAAATGTCACTGTCAATATTTTATATTAAAGGCACTGTTTAAGGAAACTCATTTTGAAGCAAGACATGTATTTATTTAAGTTTTTTTTTTTTTTTTTTTTTTTTTTTTTTTTCAGTTTAATTCAATCAATAACTTGTGTGATGTGTCTCCCGATTTTCACTGCACTCCAGTACAAGCCAGCGGGGCCCAGGGGAAATTCACATGGTCCAAAGAGCAATTTAAAACATATAACTTTTAACACAAAAGCTGCAGCTTGCTGCTGTGACACCTTCAGTTTTCATGTTACATCACCCCAGCCAATCAGCTGGAATGAATCGTCCATGTCAAACACCAATTTTCATTTATTTCCTTTTCTTGTGAAGTGCCAAACACGCTAAATGACAGCTGGAAACTCTCGTGAAGACTTGTTAACCATGTGTTACACTGTGATAACGCCCTTAATTTCAAAACTGGCTCTTATACATGAAAAAGTGTTTAACTAGTTTTGCATGTGTAAAAATGAAAGTGGTTTCAAACAATGAGCTCAGATGAAAGTTTGGTCCTCCATGAGTGTAGATAATGAATCAAGCCTCTGTGCCAGAGAGAAATAACAGGCTGTGAATAACATGGGCATAAGGGCCATTTTAAATGTGTTAATTTCAGGGTGAGTTTACTGTAGGCTGATGCTCACAGTTTAGGATTAGACTGCCAGGAGAGCCAAGAAGCATATTATCTATTCTGAGGGCACAAGTACATTATGTCCCTTCTCTATAAATCTTTGCTTCATGTGTGGTATATCTGCTCTAGATACACTTGAGTAGGAAATAAATAATATTGTAAGTTAACGTGAAGTGCTGTTTTTCTTCTCTTAAATGTCATAGCCTTTACATTTATTAGAAAACAAAGCATTTTAAAAGCAGCTCAGTATCTCTTGGATTTATGTTGATACTAGATGATTCTCCAATACACAGTACACAGCCCATCCAATACATCCACACCACCCTTCCTTGCCAATGAAAGAAGCACAGCTTGTTGTGTATGCAGTGTCGTGAAAGGTCAAGTTAGTGAGGTCAGGGCAACGCATGTATGTAAAGCATTCACCTTATGAAAGGTTAGTGCCCTGCTTCAGAACAGCGATAAATGTGGGCTTTCAACAGTGATTAACATTGATGAATGATCTTTCTCTTCTTTTCTTCTTTTACTTTTTGAGCCGGAACTACAGTGTGTAGTTGAACAATTGTTAACAAGTGTAAGAGTCTACAGCCACATGGTAAAATGCCCACAAGGAAAATGCTAACATGGTGATGTTTAGAGGGTAATATTTACCATTAGTTTAGCCTGTTAGCATGCTAACACACTAATTAGTACGACAAAGTACAGCTGAGGTTGATGGGAATGTCATTAGATTGCCGATGTTTTGTCATAAATGAAAAAATTCAAAAAGTAAAAAACATCTGACCTAATGATGGTGCTAGATGAAAAGTCAGAGGATCTACAAAGTCATTACATTTTTTCCTCTTGGGCTCTTTAGTATCTTTAACAAATTTGTTGTAAAAATATTTCTCTCAAAACCAGAAATGTAAAACTTCAAGCTGCCGGTGCTACGGATGCAATCAGATAACATTACTGACCTTGAGTCATATAAGGAATCCTTGGGTAGCACGTTTCAAAAAGAATTAAGACAAAAGATAAAAGAGACACAAGGCAAGACACATAAAGGATGAACACAAAATAAGATGAATGAAAACTGAATAAAACAAATAGATCGTAAAAGACACAAGCAAACAGAAAAGTGTTAAGCTTTGATTTAAAAGAACTGAGAGCTCAAAAACATCATTCTTTCTTGGTCTCAGTGAAGACTTTAGCAGCAGCATTCTGAACCTGAATTAATGGATTATACTGTATTTCAGGTTACATCAGGGTGTGTGTGTTCAGTAATCTGAATACATTCCCCACTTCCAGAAATGCGTTGTTCACTCGCAGCTGTTTAATGTTGTGTGTAACTGCAGTGTAGGTGTTATTGTGTTTTAAAGGGTGTGTTGTGTGTTGTTGGAGTCTTCGGGCTCCCTCCGGACTGTATACCCCGACAGCTGTGCTCCCTGCAGACAGAATCAGAATTAATCAACGTAATTACATTAAGTGGAAGATTATGAAAAAGCATCAGTCTTGTCTGTAGTTCGAGCTCAAATCTCACTGGCTTTACTGTGGCGCTACTGCAGCATTGTGAGAGACAGCATTTCAACAAGTATTCAGCAGGTGTGATGTTTTGTCAGTGTGGGGATTGATTGCATCTGTTCTCCTTGTGTGCTGTTTGTGTCTAGATTGGCTGCAAGGTGGTCGTGACCTTGTTCATGTACTTTCTGGCGACCAATTACTACTGGATCCTCGTAGAGGGTCTGTACCTTCATAGCCTCATCTTCATGACCTTCTTCTCAGACAGAAAGTATCTATGGGGATTTACTCTGATTGGTTGGGGTGAGTCCCGCTTCATTTACATTCCGCCTGCATGCACGTGATTACAATATGAATATTAGGCTTAGTGTGATGCGAATTAAATATTATGTAAGGTATTTAATTTTTGATGGTCTAATTAGTATGCAAAGAAGTTTGAAGAAAAATAAAATGGGAGGCACTGTCAAGTCTCTTGCTGATATTTTATTGATAAGCAAATGAAAACAGTGGAAAACTGTGTAAAGACACACACTCATGAATATGGGCTTTACAGTTCCTGCATTGTACACACTGTGCGTATAAGTTACATAAGCACAGCGCATACAATGTGGATGCTGTGCTCCCCAGGTTCTGCCTGCCTAGCAAATTATGGATTTATTTTGGAATCTTTTAAAGTACTTTCTTAAATTTTTTTTTTTTTTTTTAATTATTATAATATTTTATTTTCTCTTTTATTTCTCAGGAGTACCGGCTATGTTTGTGACAGTTTGGGCAACTGTGAGAGCCATGTTTGCAGACACCGAGTAAGTGATCTGCACAAATAATGAGACATTATTCTTGTTAAACGTTAATGCAGAAATACTAAGGTCACTGGTTTCTTAAGGCAAAGGGGGCACGTGCAAACAGAGTCAATGATGAAGTAAGTTTTGCAGCAGTGGTTTTATTTTGCTGAGTGTCTGTGGAAAGTTTCCTTCAACAAAAATAACTGTCCACGCAATGATGTATAAACCGGTCTAAATTCTGAAGGCTTAAATGGTGAAATTTAAATATATCAGTATTTTCCAACCAAACATACCTCAAGCTTCTGTAGTAAAGGTTGAGGACAGGGTTGAAAGCTGAGGAAAAAGAAGTGGAGTCACCTTCTACTTCTGAATGGCTGCCTCAGGCAATCTTACTGGACCCACAGCCCCTTCTGACTGGCACTATCTGCCGCCTCCACATTGGTACCGTACCACGGTCGAGCACTGAGGAATCTGGAGCTGAGAGCTTACAGCTAAGCTGGTATCCAGCAGCTGTCTAGTGGAACTAAACCACATATTTCTCTTCGTCGTCAGCAGAAGAGCAGCAGCAGAACAGCTTCATGGGCAAGAAAACAAACCAAGCATGCTAATAACCACAGCTCGGTCATTGGTAGTATGGAGTAAGAAGTAATGGCAGGCATTTGGTTAAAAATTCCAATCTATCGACTATGGGTGTCGTATTGGTTAAAATTGACCTAAATCAAGCACGATCTATGCTTTTTGTCAAAAGATTTATGAATCTTTCTTGCTGCTAAAAGCCACACATAGACAGGAATAAATACAGAGGAGATGACCTCAATGTCCTCGGTGGTAGCTTAAGGCACAGATTTTGTTATTTCAATTCATTGGCACAAAGTAAAAAAATCTTTCCAGAACTGCAAAAGCCTTGAACATGAAGGCCAAATTCTGGGGTAATGAATCAATTCATTAGGGATTAAGGCCGGAATCAAATCATGTAAACATTTATTTTGACAAATTGAATTCATGTCTGTATGGCTTCATATGATACTTGTGTCTAGCACTTTCAGATGAATCTAAATGGAGTCAGTGACCTGGCTGAATCTCTATCTGATGGCAGTGATCATTAGAGACACCAGAGTGGAACAGAGGGATCCTGGATCATCACATCTGCCACCTTGATCCTTACTTATCTCTCGCTGATCCCTGTGTTGTTGTTTATCTGCTGCAGGTGTTGGGACTTAAGTGCAGGCAATTTGAAATGGATATATCAAGTGCCTATCCTGGCGGCTGTAGTGGTGAGTACGCGCTCGCTGTTTGCACCTTTCCCCTGCTGTGCAGGAAATGACAGTGTTTCACTGCACCTGTGGCATAACAGCTGTTGGATAAGACACCTTATTATGTTTCCAGTGACACCCAATCATATATTTGTGTTTCTATTTTTTTTCCAGGTTAATTTTATGTTATTTCTGAACATCATCAGAGTCTTGGCAACTAAATTACGAGAAACAAACGCTGGAAGGTGTGACACAAGGCAACAGTACAGGTACTGAGGACTAGCATTGTGCAAAATTATTATTTTCAATTCAAAATTTTACTAGAGCAGCCGCTTATTTTGATTAATTCATCATATCAGATATTAATATCCTGCACCACTGCCAGCATGATGAAGCCATGAATGATGAGGCAGGATCGAAAATTGCAGCGAAGATTGCAGTGATACATAATAATGACCCTTCACTGTCATGAACCAAAGGCTGCAAGTAATGATTGTTATCATTACAGATTAATCAGCCTCTTATTATGTATTATGTAATCTATTTTATAATCTCAACGAGTAATAGAAAATAGTAAAAAATGCTGTTGTCAGTTGTAGGGTCTCAGGTGAAGGTCTTTAAATTGCTTGTTTCATGTGACTCACAGATTTTGAATTTATAAAGACTTTAAATGAAAAAAAAAAGGAGCAGATCCTCACATTCGAAAAGATGGAAACAGAGAATGTTTAGCATTTTTGCTCATAAATGACTTAAAGTTCACTTAAACTTAAACAACAGAAAATAATTGAAGTACTGGGACTAATTAATTAATCAACTAATTGTTTTAACACCAAACCAGAAATAATTTATTGCTTAAGTGAAGCCATAAAAAGTGAAGCAATAGTTAAACAAAATGAATGAATGAATAATTGAATTAACATGCACAAATTAGATGTTTTAGTTCTATAATGTGCTGAAGGTTCGGCAAACTGACCGTATAATATTTTGTTAAGATTACAAAAACGTTCCTCTGCTGTTACAGAAAACTGTTGAAGTCCACGCTGGTGCTGATGCCACTGTTTGGTGTCCACTACATCATATTCAACGCCATGCCGTACACAGAGGTGTCTGGAGTTCCCTGGCTGATCCAGATGCACTATGAGATGCTGTTTAACTCCTTCCAGGTGAAGCTGCTGTGGTAGAAATGTTACTGTCCGCTCTGCGGGCCATTAATATTAATATGTGCTTTCAAGATGAAAAAATCTGACTGACCTGATAAGGATTTTACATGTCCTCAAGGTCAACATGTCTTTATCACTGAAAACACTGTCAGCGACTCGTTAATAAAAGGAAGAGGGATCAATTATCTATTAGTTACTTTATGATGAGGTATTTGGTTGCAGTTGGATCTTAATTAAGATAAAGAGGAAGAGAAGGGTGGCTGATGATTTAAAATACCATAGGAAATATCAATGTATACGGCTTAAATGTCATATTATCTCCACACTAAAGATATCTCTTATCTTCTCTTTTCCAGGGATTCTTAGTTGCAATTATATACTGCTTTTGCAACGGAGAGGTAAGGACTCATAAAGTTTTGCATTTTACAGTAAAAACTCCTGCATAATATTTAAGCTCTTTCGTGGCTAAATAACTTCTTCTCTCCTAAGGTTCAAGCTGAGATCAAAAAGTCCTGGAGCAGGAGAACTCTGGCACTGGACTTCAAAAGAAAAGCTCGGAGTGGCAGTAACACTTACAGCTATGGACCTATGGTATCACACACCAGTGTTACCAACGTCACTGCCAGAGGACCGCTGGCCCTCCACCTCACCACGAGGCTGGGACCGGTGCCTGTGAACGGGCACAGGAACCTCCCCGGGTACGTGAAGAACGGCTCCGTCTCAGAGAACTCGATACCTTCGTCGGGACAGGAGCTCCACATCCCCGAGGAGGAGCATTCTGCTCACACGCGGCCCTGCGAGGACGAGAAACCCTCGCCCGTGGTCGAGGAGGAGAGGGAGACGGTCATGTGACCGCTGTGTATAGGGATGAAAACTGGAAAAAAAAAACAAAAAAAAAAAAACAAATCATAACACAGTCTCAGGATGGTCTGCCAGTTTTTTTTCTCCTGTGAATCGAGCCAGAACTTTGGCAACCAATGAGGCTCAAGGTAACAAAAAAAAAAAAAAAAAGAAAAAAAAGAAAAAAGGGTGTATCACTTTTGTGAGCTGGGCCACCTTTATTTGAGGGATGATGACCCTCATTGTTGTGGCAAACACTCTCAACTCTTTCAACAACCACCTGCCACAGTGAATGTGTAAAAGGCTGAAAACAGACTGCCGTTTCTTACTTCTTTCCCACTGCCATCGAGTTTTCTGTTTGCTTTTTTGGCAGATGTCTTGTTGCTCAGCTCTTGTGCATAAATCAAACTGAGGTTAGTTAGTTGCAGTAGTTGCCAGGAACAGCCTTAATCACCTATGTAAAGCCAGGTGGATTTTGAGTGCACTTAGTGGCACATGTGTGGGCAATTTCATCAGCAAGGTTTCACATTAAGTCAGTGTGAGTAGACGACGTGTGGGCTCGGCTTCCAAAAAAATTATTAATGCTACTATTTTGAGGGATCTGTTCATGTTTTCTGGCACGGTTTCTCATTTGTTCTGCATTGACTTAAATCCACTTCAGTGTAAAAGGGAAGGTACTCAGGTAATTGAAGTCCTCTGTTGTTGCACACCTATTTTTATACGTTTAAAGTGGTGTTTTAGCATGGTCAGCATTTCTCTCCAGAGGATGTTGGTAGGTTATATAAGGCTGTGTTAAAATATTCTTGTTTTCAAAAAAACATTGTACAGTCTCTGCTGTTTAGAAAGACCCGGTATTCATCTCTCTGATTGCAACAGATTTCGAAGAGTTCAAATGAATGTTTCATATTCAAATTCTCTAACAAAACACACACACAAGATACACACACACACACACACACACACACACACACAAAACGATGCCAAAGTAAGAATATCTCTTTGAGGACTGTCTCTTTCTTTGGGTTGAGTGTCAGCTGAGGTAAAGAGGTCCTTAATAGAAATCTGACAGAAATAGTATCAAGTGTTCTCGCTAAGTTTTCAAAGGAAGAGACCCCCCATTTAAAAAAACACAGGGCGCAGGAAACGGTCATATATTTCAGTGGAATGTTAATTAAATGAGGAATCCAAGAAAATCTCAAATTCCCCTGGAAATTCCAAGAGCGACATTTGTGGTGGATATGAAGGAAAACCCAGAGATGAAAAACACACAGAAATTTTCACAGATGGTCCAGTGTTATGCTGCTTTTTGATGTATATATACAAGTCACAATGTTTACAAAGATCAGAAATACATTCTAATTGTGAGCTAATAGTGTTCATGTGTATGGATATGTTATAAAGCTATGTTTCAGTGTATATAATTTTTTTTTTTCATGTGTTTGTTTACGGAATGTTTGCAATATTTGATTATGTACATTGTCCAAATCAAAACTGGTGAATACATTTACAGGTGACAGAGGGCATTCAGACTAGCATTTAATGAAGCATTAGACAAGGTATTTCGAACTCTGTAACTTGTAACTTACTGCACTTAACCTGCACGGTTTGCAGGTTAGGTCACATAATCTATTATACCAAAGAGAAAAGGCATGATATGCTGCCAGGGAAAAAGGTTGTTTTGCAGTATTTTCATCCACCATCTTGTTTACAGTGACCAAAAAGTCTTAAAGTCACCCGCTCTCCAAAAAAAAAAAAAAAAAGACAAAAAAAAAAAAGTATTTGCTACTGGTAGTTAGTATAGGAAAATGTCAAGATAAAAGTGTTGAAATACAGCTCCCACATAGATTGAAGTTTTTAAAATAAATATTCAGTTTCATGTAAACAGCAGTGAGGCAAATGAGAAAACCATCCACAACGCTCAGTAGCTCAGTAACAATGGACTGAGACCATTAATATTAAAGGCAGTTTTGTTGCTCTTAAATCCTCCACTTGGATTTTTGACTTAACTTGGTCTCAAGAGCAGAATTAGTCACTATTTGGTTTGGACGAACGTGTGTGATGGATTTGTGATTTAGCTCGGATTCAGCTAAATGGAGTTTTACCTCACACATAAATTCCAACTAATATGTGACCAAAGCTAATATTTGCTCTTGAGCACAGTGTTATCCCATGTTTTTTTTTTTGTTTGTTTTTTTTATGTTTAGTTTTTTTTCACATCTGGTGACCACCGTTCGATGGCAACAACTCTTGTCCCTCTTGCTGTCGTCTGCCTTTAGTGACTTCACGCAGACTGAGTTATGCTTCCCACCTTCCTGATTCCCAGGTTTGCTCCACCAGTTGCTCAGTCCATTATCGTGTGTGCTTTGACTCAGTTTTGAAAGGTTAGAGCCCGGTCTGCTCTGTTACAAGTCCACCCAGCAGATTTATACTGCACGTAAAAGAGTAGAAAACACTAAATTCAGACAACTTTATAAATTGTCTTTGCTGTTTTCCCATTAAGCAGATGTTTTAAAGGTCAGTCTGGTAATGTTCTTCTTATTGACAGCAAATCCCATGAAAAGACCAAAAATCAACATTTACCTGACTTATAAGTATTGTCGGACACACTAATGAGCCACACCTTTTTATTGGGTGACATGTTTCTTTATTACAAAATACATGGGTAGTGTAGTTTTTTATTTTTCTGAGCCAATCCCACAAGTACCATCCTGTGTGCGTAAATACTCACTAGCTAACCAAATGTGTGTTAATCCGCTGCTAAAAAAAGTCCCCAACAAATACACTATTTACTCCTGTCTGAGTAAAGTTTGCCTAAAGCTACAGGGCCCAGGTGTTTGGGGAAATTACACAGCCTTTCTTTTTTTAAAATTAAACAAAATATTTGAGACACACAATTTTAAACATTTATTTTTTAGTGGAAACAAATAGGTTTTTGGATGAGAGACAACAGCATGGTAGGAAAGTACTGAGAGACGGACTAACGCATTGATATTTTTGGTCTTTTTATGGCTTTTTTTTTGGCAATAAGGAAAATATAAAATCATTTTAGAAATATCCACAAAACTCATTTGAGCCAGACAACTTCCTGTTTTTGACAGCTGGTCAGACGCCTGTGATTTTGAGTCATTAGCTGTAGAATTCTGAGAAGCGTGTTTGGGCCTTTAAGGAACTCAAATTGGATCCAACTGGGACATTTCCATGGGGACCGGTCATGATTGCGACTCGAGTGGATTCGCTACAACAGTAATTAGAGGTGGCTTCAGGCCACAATGACGGAAAAAAGGAAAAGACTAAGGTTGAGGGGAAGCTCTTGTCACTTGATAATAAAGTGATATCCTGTCGGTACAGTTGTAACATGTACAACATTTAAGACTGCAGCTGACTGAGGTGGTTGTTCTTCAAATCCAATCAGACTTTCCACTAACTGCCGCTGGGCAAGTAAAGATGTTGCCGTCGTGTAACGCAGTTTCTCATTAAAAGGGCAGGGGTGGTATCAGAGCATTCAAATCTTTTATTAAAATAACACTTGGAAAATTATATATGAGCACTTTAATACCCTATAATACAGTATTTTGTTCTGATTGTATCATGTAAAATGATTGTGTTTTGGAATCAAGTGTACAATAAGGCCAATAACCATAGAGCTAATGTTGTATTTCATTGTTTTCGAATACCTCTCATGGAAGTATAAAATGTGTTTCATTGTCTTTTATTTATCTCGTGCCGAAATGTACTCAGTGGAGTCGACATTGGTCTTCATGCTTTACATACAGTATGTGGGCAGTGTTTTTTTTGTTTTGTTTGTTTGTTTGTTTGTTTTGTTTTTTTTTAAGACACATCTCACCTTCTCATCACTCCATGGTGATGTAGGCATGTTGTAGATATCAGTGTAAACTTGGACTCAAATAGGAAGATGTTATCTGGTTTCTAATGTTCATCAGTGAATTGTGAATAAGTCAATAAATCTATAATTTTACTGTACTCATACTTTTTTTTGCAACTTTCATGATTCTGATGTGGACAAAATACCCATAATGCATGTTCTTATATATAAGCTTTTTCTTTATTTTAAATATAATATCATACAAATATCATTTTAGAAAAAAATTGCCCAAAATGCTTGCGGTGAAAAGTATGAAATTATTTTTTTCTTCCAGTGTTTGTCAATGGAAGGCAGAGTTCACTTCTGAGCTTTCTTGGCTCCCCCTTTAGCGCCTCCTTTTCCCCCTTTCTCTCCTTTCTCGCCTTTTTCCCCTTTGTCTCCCTTCTCTCCAGATTTCTTTCCTTTTCCTTCACCTTCTTCTTTCTTGGCTGCTCCCTTTTCACCTTTTTCACCCTTCTTCTTTGTCGGAGCATCATTTTCATCTCCTTTCCCTTCTTTGGCACCCTTGCCCTCTTTCTTGACTTCCTTGGTCTTCTTCCCTCCTTTGTCACCATCCACTTTCCCGGACACTGTTGTCACCTCCTCCTTTTCTTCTGCTTTTGCAGCTGCAAGAAAAAAAACATGAAAAAAATGAGGGGTTAAAGGCCTCATGGCGGCATCAGGTATCATCAGGGTCCTGCCTCTAACAGTAATTGGAAGGGAGAATTAAACCCAACAGAAAGCCAGGCTAAGTAGGTTGCATGTAATGAAGGCACATCTGTTTCTATCTGTTCTAATAAGCATGGTCTATTTATTCTTTTAATGGGATTGTTAGAAGTGCTTTCTGGGTGAGAAAAGCAGAACAAAGGTTTACAGTCAGCTTTGTGTGTGTGTTGAAAGAAGACAGTGTTTTTCTCATTATTCTTCAAGAGGTGACACCCTGAGGATGTACCCAGCCAACAAAAGATAGTGAGGATGAATATCTCCTAATGTTACCAGGTTTAGTTTTGTATATTTAGGTAGCAAGTAAAATAACAGGGGAATTTAGAATGAAAATATTTCCTGTGGACTTAGAGCCGTGGTTTGGCATTTTGGGAAACACACTTATTTACATTCTGGCCAAGAGTTAGATGAGAAGATTCATAACACTCTTATGTCTGTCCAGTAAACATAAAGCTTCAACCAGCATAAAGCCTAGAAACAGCAGGAAACAGCCAGCATGACTCTTTCTAAAATAACACAATCTGCCTACCAGCAACTGTAAATCTCAATAATTAAGAAATTATAACTTTTATTTGTTTAATTTGTACAAAAAAAAAAAAAACGTATAAAAACGACAAGCTGTGGTCATGTGACGCAACCAGCAGAGAATTCACCGTGACGACAGCACTTCAGGAAGTTCATGTTCCCGGCCAAGAACGTTTTCACATTTCGGTTTTGGATGTTGTTTACTTTGGACAGAGCCAGATATTATTATCAATTTTTGCTGCTAACTCTCGGCTAGAAAACACATTTTGGGCTAGAAAGCATATTTTCCAAAATATCAAACTATTGCTTTAAATTCTCTCTGACTGTCCCCACATCTTCACTGAAGCAAATATCTCCAAACCTGCCTGATGATGTGTAAGATTATACCTGCAAAAATAATAACAG